ATATATGTGTGTATATAACTATAAATGTGTATATAGTATTATAAAATATGCCGATAATGCTTCCGGGGATGCAAACTGTCATTTTTAGTGGCATGGATGACATTCCCTTCGTTAACAGTGGCCAAGAATGTAGGAGCTGATGTATCTCATGTTGTGAAGTAGATGACGCACACAGCTCCAGTACAGTCATATAACTGGTATTCGGCTGCATACGCGTCGGAGTCTTGGGCATCATACGCGCATATTATTTTGATGCCAGTTGGATTACTAGTGTGGTCATCAGAATCGACATCAATTGCTGTATGCCAGGACTTGAACCCCTCTATAACTGGCTAGCGGAATACATTGTTCTATTTGTTCGGGATTGGTATGTTGCCGGACAACGAGAGTGTTTTCAGAGTTACAACATCGCTGTTGAGTTTGCAGCCCTCAACTTTGTACTGATGAAGAATTTGAGATAATATATAAAGATTGTATGGTCTTCTAAGGCCCCATGACTCTTCCTCCTTAGTGGCTTGGGTCAAGTCTACAACCATCGTGCAACATCAGAGTCTAACATAACCAATTCATCATACACCAACACCATTTACACAAAAATAGAGTAGTAATATAGTAGCTAACTATGTATAAAGTATACCCTATACGCAATAAAACAAATGCATATAGTTTTCAGATTTCACGCAGTCGTATTACCGCATAAGGAAGTGTCAAGTCAGGCACTGTCGACACCTCAAAATATGGAAAATGCAGATTGGGATTTATGGATATGAAATATTTGGGACATCAATATTATGAAATATGGGCTACAAATTTTGAAATATTATTTATGCCGAAATTCAAATGCATCATATTCTGCACGTTACGTATTATGAACGGTTGGTTACGTATTTACAAATAAATGAACATGCCTTCATATTTACCAGTCCCCAGGCCTGGCGCCAAGTCGCCAACGGGTACGGGACACAGGTACTTGGCAGTGCTGAGTTCGGCGCGTTGGATCACGTTTTTTTTTATAACAATATATAAAAACAAACAAACAAAAACTATGTGAGAAATCTTGAAACCACTTGTTTATTTAAAAAAAACCCCAAATACCAATACATAGATATAATAGAGCCACCTACTATATATTTATTTATCGACATAGAGAGAGAGGCTAGGCCGCTCCTCTCTCTAGTAGAGAGAGAGCCTGAGAGGGCGCTAGGCGGGCGCAAATTTTCTAGTAGAGCTTGGGGGGTTTTTTTAAAATAGTAAAAATACAAAATTATAAATACATAAATACAGTATTTCTGCATAGGGAACTCATCAAGATAAAATATTTTTTTAACCCCCTTAACCTCATAAATTTAAACGTCTAACGTTTTTTTTAAACTAAAAAATCGTCTACCAACAGCCCAAAATTTTGAGGCACCACGTTTTAGGCGTGCATCCTCTGGGAAGTCTTCGGGCAGGCTTCCATCCTCTTTGGCGTACCTTTCTTTCATCAAAGGTATAGTTCATCAAAGGTATAGCCTGCTGCCACCTGATATCCGGTTTGTCTGCCAATATACTTTCCATATCAGTTTGATACCGTTTAGGAAAAGCTATAGGCTTCTTGCGCGCCTTCTTGCCTGCAGCGGGAACGTACTCCTCACCTCTCGCAGCAGCGGCTGCCATCGCCAGAGCCACCTTCTCTGCTTGCGCTATCTCTGTCTTCCGCTTAGCATCCGCTGCTTTCTTCGCGCTTGTTAACGTAGATATCAGTGTCCATATATCCATTTCGTTAGGTAGAGAGTATCGGCCAGGATACAATATTTTTGTTGTGAAAGCATTGAACCAGGCGAATCTTTCCTCGTTAGTGCTTCAACTAGTACAGCCCGTACAACCCTCTTTTGTATAGAGTTTTTGGGGCTCTATTATACACATCTACAAGACAGTTCAATACTCGCCCACCAGGGAGTTTATTAACGTCTTCAGATGGATTGCTTGCACACCGAGAGAGCTTGCGATGTCACGCAACAAAGCATCTGCATCAGCTGGATATATTATGTTTGCTACACGAGTAGCAGCCATGAGCACAATTTGAGACATGCAACTCCAGCCATTTGGATGTGTTCTTTGGATTTCAGTGTTGTTAGTGCGCAATTCTGTACTAGGCAAGGCCTTTCTACTGTTACGACTCCATCCAAATGTCCGTGAGATATCTACTATTTTATTTAGACGTTCGTTACTATTCGTACTGATTGTGGCAAAGTTTTGACTTTCAGAGTGTGTGTATGTCTCACTTGGCGCACTCTTAGCACGTGATGGAGTATCAAGCGCACGTATACTCTCCGCAGTATCTAAACGTGCTCTCTTAGCTGATATGCGTCCTAATGAAGTACGCTGCACCTCGCCTACTACCTTGGTGAATCCCTTCCGACGACCACGTTTCCTAGCGCCATTCGTACCGTTGCAAGCACACTTCGACTTCTTGCACGCGCTATTACACACTGAACAACGTCCTCGTTTAAAATTGCCTATGCATTCGTCGCACACATCCTGGGGTATGCAACCACAGACCGTCATATCGCCACTAACCTCCGAATAAAAGTCAATTCAATGCATGCATCAATCGATGGTCAATACACCATTCCGCAACGTGACCACCTGTCATCGTTGTTCTATGCTATCATGGGCTTATGTGACCCTACCATACACCTTATAAGCGATATATATAGCACACCTGGATGCTTCTTTGACCTTGCTAGCATGTCACAATCGTGTTTTTCACCTACCACAAATCCGACCTACCCTTCGGTACGGGCACGCTAATAACTCGTGAAGTATTGGTGCTATGAACATGGTGTAAAAACAACATTTGATCAGAAGTGTGTGATTTATCCGACTCGAGTGATAAATTATGCTTGGCCTATTTCCGCATTTAAACAAAACTGCCCTGCCCCAAAATTCTGACCCGGTTAATAGGCGATTTTGTAGTAAAACGGATCAATTTGTTTAAAAAAACCCCTAAAACTGCCAAACGACCGAAACCCTATGTTTGACCGGGAATTAGACGTCACACAAATATTCTGGGACCCAGGTTTTCTATAAAGACACATTTTGTTTTGTTTGCCTGTATGTACACTGTACTGTATTCACACTGCTCCAATGAAAATTTTTTATTGGGTTTACTGATTACTAAGCCGCTGTCGTCCACAAAACATTTCACAAGTTTACTGACTTGAGTGACTTCAGAGGTTAACAGTTAATCCCATAGTCCCATACTCCTAGAGAGACTCCAAAGGAGTCAAGGTACCATCAGAATAAGACGCCCAGTTAGGTTTCAGTGATATAAAGGCAGTCCACTAAAAGAACTCTTCTTAAAAGCAGATTCACAGAAGAAGGGTGAAGTTGAGAAGATAAAAATAAATTAAACCCGTAAAATATCACTTAAATATTTTACTACAACAAAAACAAGCACATATTCAAAAAAAATTAGTTGTGGTTAACATTTTTACTCGCGGGTGTAAAACGACTATGATTTTGACTGGCGCAATTTACTTTACCCAATTTTGTTTGTATTAACGTCTCAGACCCTGAGGCAACCGTGTGGCCTGTTGCCCTGCCGGCCTACCCTGAAAAGCTATAGGACTGAAAATGTATTGCATTTATTGTAAAAAGAATACATATTTTAAATTTCTTTGAGTCGTCGACACACGACTGACTCTACACTATTACTCTGTACTCTTTTTAGAGATTAGAGAGTATAGAGACTGGAGAGAGAGGGAGAAAGAGTCTCTCTCGAGACTCGAGAGTCTGCAGTCTACTCTCTCTACTACTAGAGACTAGAGAGTAGTCACGTCGTTTTTTCTTGTGTGTTTGTCTCAGACTCTCAGTCTCAGTCCCTCAGACCTCAGTATGTCTACTATGAACTAATCTCTGAAGTCTGAAGTCTGAGTTTCTGAGAGAGCGAGACAATTTAAAAAAAAACAAAACTCTAGAGAAAATTTTTATATATATTTTATTGGGGAATATAAAAAATCGTCAGTTTACAAATAAATTATTTATAATTTACACCAGGAGTCAGAACTCAGGAGTTCAGGACTCACAGATGCTTATAAAGATAAAATGAAAAAGGAATGTCCCAAAAGATGAAAAGAAGGTCAGAACGAAGTCATAATTGGTCCCTGACATTTCAGATAATTGCGACAATTATGTAAACGATATTGAGTTTTAAAAATAACGACACATTTCGAGACCCCGTGTCTCTGACCGTATTTCAGAAGATTCCCTCGACACCGCGATAAATAATGTCTTTTTTATTGTCGTTTTTGTTCTATAAAAAATTGTATTCAATATATATATATATATATATATATTTGGTTCTATTTGTCTTTTTAAATATATATATATATATATATATATATATATATAATACAATAAATATAACACTAAGATTTTTATTTTTTCTTCGAAGAAAGAAAAGTAAAACGCAGCGACTATTCGCCATATTTATTTTTATTTGCGTTTTAAAAAATAAAAATACAATATTATAGGTGAGCTACGGGAGAGAAGTCTGTAAATACTCTAAAAGACTCTGTACGTAAATATCTATGTTTAAAAAAACACACAGTGTCCTGGGCCCTGGGGCCTGGGGCCTGCAGCCCTGCACCCTTCAACAATGGCCCGTAAATATTATCTCTACTAACTACTTACTACTCTGCTAGTAGTGCCTCTCCTCTACTCGAGAGTAGTATTTAGAGAGTAGTAGAGTGAGGGTGTATCCACTGTGCTGTAGCCTGTAATGTCTGTGCGGTCTGTGTTTAGCGGGGTTTAAAAAAAAACAAAAGTGTAAAACATTTGAAGTATGTATGTGAAATTTCCTGTGTGCACTGTGCTGGGCTGTAAGTATGCTACTACTAGTAGTAGGAGGCAGTGCGGCTACTCTTTCGACTACTAGCACAAGAAGAAGACGAGACTCGAGAGAGAACTGTCCTCGCTCGAGAGAGGGAGGTTGTATTCTGTAAGCGTAGTCCGTATCCTGTAGCCTGTAAATAGGTCTCTAGTGTTTTGACGTTTGTAGCTGTATGTAGCTCTATTTAATTAGAATGTACCCAGTAGGCCAGTACCCCACAGCCCCCGGCCTGGGGCGTGTGGTCTGTGGAGTGTAGACTGTAGCCCTGTGTCAGAGTGTTTGACAGTATGTGCCTAAGCTCAATGCGCTAACCGTTATAACTTTTATTACCTGCCGTTATAAGCGTTGAAGTTCAATTTTTATTGCATACATGGTCCTATGTATTTAGATGGGGTGTAATTTCTAGGTCTGCAGATTTGTCCCCAGTTGCCCTGTTGAGCGCGTCAAATTCGACAGTCATCAAAATCATGGCGAGCTTATGATTGGTCGATATTCTCAATATAGTCCATTTCGTGCATTTTAGGTGCACATTCGAAGTGCAGTTTTTGAAATTTCGTTTGGCATATTTGAGCTACATAACCATTTTAAAGTATATAGAACATGAATTTTTTTATTCAGAATGCATAAAGTAATGAGCTTAGGTCACTATGAGCGCCTAGGCAACTATGGGCTATGGGCCTATAGCACTATGCTATTGCACTATGCCTATGGCCTATGCATTGTACTCTGTAGTCTGTACTCTGTAGAGTATAAACTATAGCTACTACTAGTAGAGTAGACGCTAGTGGCTGCTAGTAGGCGCCAGCCCGAAACTGAGAGAGTGAAACATCTCTTTGAATTATTTTTGGATGATGGTTTTATTGTGAAATCAGTATTTTTAGGAGTATGGTATGACGGTCTTGACTAATAGATTAGGTTTGAATATCTGCTAATTTCCTTTTATGGATCATAATAGGAAATTCCTGATATTATTTATCAAATCATCCGACTTTTGAATTTTTTTTCTTGAATTTCTTGTGCAGCTGCACTATTCTCATATTTTTCAGGTGTGGGGCAGTGGGGCGCCAGTGGGGGCCTTGGGGGTGGGTGGGTGGGGGGGAGTGTGTGAGCAACTGGGCATACATATTCTTATAAATAGCAAAATCACGTATTATTTCAAATATTTATTTTTTTACCCACCACCAGTCCTTCACTGCACCAGTGATTTTAGTGATTCAGTGACCAAGGAACTAAAATAAATAAATAAATAAAAACATAACCTTCTGAAAAAAAGAATACTTTTGTTTTGTTTTTGAAATAGACAAAAAATAGAACAAAGAAACAAATATAGAAATAAGAAAAGCATTTTGTATTGAAAATATGTATGATTAATTTACAGGGTCAGTGATTATGCTGCACTGATGAATGCAAATACATTCGTGGAATTACTCCCTCATCACACAAATTGGCCAACCATTACAACGTGAAAGGTCCTGTTCACATATATACAGATTATCATTGGGTTGATTATTAACGCCGACACTAAACCCAAGCGTGTTGGATTTTTCTCTACGAATCAGACCAGCCTCTGGTAAAGAAGCGCAGAGCTTGGATTACAGAATACAGAAACTACCGGAGGTTAATGGTTAATATGGAGTAAATACAGGCTTTATTTATTTTATTTTATTTAAAAAAAGACCAATATTTATGTTGAAAAACAATACAGATGCACAAGAAGTGAAGTAAAGTTTGTTTATTTACATTTGTGGTCTCAATTTGGTTTATATATAAAGGACAACACTATACGTTTGTTTATATTTATTTTATTTGCAATTCGCTTTACAATCAACAAAAGGTACCAGGTATGGAGACCTACCATAAATATATCAGTATTCAATGTAATAAGGCTTGATCTGCTGCCGATAACTTTCGTAGATAATTGAATTCATACGATTCTATCACAGGTAGAAGAGGTGAGATACAAATCAGAGTTGACTTACATAGCCATTGGCATATCACATCCGTATATCAAATTGTTAGAATGAAGGAATTAAAATATAGCTATCACGCATACCAGCCTTTGTCTGACTCTCGGCATGGGCGATTCGTAGAGATCCCGAATACAATACTCAACGAAAACACAATCAATCAACCTATAAGTATTGCCCAAGGAGGGTTAGCAGGAAAAGCTTCCTTCGGCCAAGACGGGAACATATCGTCTCCGTATGGATTGGGAGAATCGTTCCCGCCCGAATCCACTCAGTCCAGTAACAGCTTCGATCACAATTTAGGCGCCAACAGCAGTTATCGGAATGGAGGCGGAAATCAAACACATTTTGTTCAACAGCGACAGGGGAACACCCACACACACGCCCACACGAATGCACAGGTTAATTCTACTCCGCGGCGCCGCATGAGCCAGACCCCGGTACTCTCGAGTCAACTGTTTGCAGCTACGCATCAGGCCATATTCAATAATGTGCCAACGCAGCAGCAGCGGCCACGCTCGCTTTCGAATACCAGTGTGGGTGCTACTGATTCTTTCAGCTCTCAACGCACCATTGGTAACATGACGATTTGTCACGGTAACACACAACCCCCGCAACAGTACACCTTTACGCTTTGTGCGGGCGATCCGGATCTTAAAGAAGTGAAAGCAACCACACGCCAAGCACGCAAGAGTAGCAATAGTGGTAACAGCGTTATAGGCTTACCGCACAATATTCCGTGTGTTAGTCCGAAAGCAAGCGGCGTTTCCGGAAGCGTTGCAACAGCCTCATCCACCTCCGTTGCTATCAAGTCGCTAAATAATGCGCTACATCATCAAACAATCTCGCGCCCAAGTGCGGGTGTACAAAGTACGAACAGTGGAAGCACGGGCAAAACACAGCACAAGAGAGTACAAAAGCGCTTGCCAGCACAGACTTTGCCCAATGATATAAACAAATTGGTTTCATCTTACGCAACAGGCGATGTGGGCCTTGCGCGAGAATTGTCGAGCTCTCAATATTTGCTTCGCGAATCATCAAATACTCTACTCACACCACGTACATCAGCAATCGATGTGAGTGTCTTACTCGGCCGCCCCGATAACACCCTACCAATTGTGCCGACCGAAACCTCGTACACCGTCAAAGCTGCACAGGAGCTAAACGATACAAGCGTTGATGTTAAAAGGTACACATCATGTGCCTCGCTTACTATGGGTGAGCTATTTCTTAGTGAGCTGAGGTCGGATCTCCTACCTGATCCTCTGAATTTGGATGTTACATCGACGTCTCAGAATACGCTTGAACTATCAATGGCTTCTTCAAGCTCCGAGGCATCTATGGATCAGCATGAACGCCTAGAACGATTGATTAGTTTACAAGATACGGACAGCGCTAGTTCAGTTGAGTCGGCATGCATGGAAACTGGTAATAATCTTGATTCTTCGGAAGATGAGTCGAGTTTTTTCTTTCAAGCGCATATAGATGATGCCGACTTCGCTTTCGATCCTATGGGCGACCCTCTTATGTCGAGTTGGGAAGAAAGCGCCTTCGCGGAGCACCTATAGTATGGTACTTTTATTCGCGATTCTTGAGATGTAATCGGCAAAACCCCTTTTCTGATTAAGGTCTGAAGGACTTCTATGTTTAGAGAAGCCTCAAGTATTACCGGTGGGGAGGGAGTGATAACGAAGACTGATGATATAGAATGAAGTACACGTGTATGGTGATTGGAATCGTAATGGTATATATGGAAGAGGCTTAAACTAACACTAAATGGTGAGTGATAATTAATAGATTCAAGCCACGTCTCGCATCTACGATTTCGCAAGGGGCTATCTGTTGACGGTAAATAAATTGGTGTAGCCCAATAAGAACGTGTCGGATATTCTGTGCTTTAATGAAAGCTATTAATGACATGAGATGCTTCCTGAGTACGGTTCCAAACCTACAAGCATGCAATGGATTTATATAGTCCAGTTGATAAAATATCAACTATGAAGTGTGTAGAGTATATTGCTACTCTACAACGCAGTACAGGTCAAGGGAATCAAGTCGATCAGAACACAATGTGTCATTTGTGCATACACACAGTCCCCATATGCTCTTGTGCTCCATTGTGCTGAAAACCTGTTTGTAGATCTTAAACTAGTTCCCCTATATATGTATATATATATCTATATCTATATATACATATACATATATATTTACATATATCTCTATATCTATATCTATAACTATTTATATATACATACATATATATATATATATATATATATATATATATATATATATATATATATATACACACACATATAATATATATATATATAC